AAAAGCGTAATTTTTACGTTACACCTGATCCTGAAATTCAATTGGTTTGCGCCACGATAAAGTCATGTGACCGGAAATTTTTTGTGGTATAATTACATAGGTTAACAATAATGATATCCTAAAAATTAATGTTTGCATTAACACGAAGTAGAAGAATATATTTAAATTGTGCTGAAAACTTCTACTTAATAACAAAGAATAATTTTCCTTGTAGATTTGTGAGTTTTTGAAATTTCAGAGTTTTTTTTTCGCCTTTATTCTTTTTACTTCGCATTTGTATATTACACTGATTTTACAATCAGATTGAATAAAATCACGGAACCGCCAAATTTTTGCGCCATCATATCTATATAATAATATACCGGGTGTTTGATAAGGGCCTTTTTTATATCTCCGCTAGTATTGGTTTTTATTATATAAAAAGATTGTAATACTTACTAATTATTACATATTTTTTTAATGATTTAGTGATTTAAAAAAAGGTTATCAAACACCCGGTATATATGAACTTTTCTGTGTCCCTGGCTCAGATGTCAATTTGTCACAAATATCAATTGGCTAAAATTATCAGCCTAAACAAATAAATTTAGACGGGGCGTTTAGCTAAATTTTAGTATTAACATCTGGGCCGTCCCAATTGACAATTGCACAACATATTTTGTTCAGCCTGTATATTTGACTATTATAAACATTGCTTACTGATAAATAGTATGTTAAAGTGCGAAATAAATTAAATTTTAGTATGTTAAAGTGTAAAAATTATTATAACCTAAAATAAATACATTCGGTTTTAAGAAAAAAAATTATTATTATTTTTGATATAGGTCCAAAAAGAATTACATTGAGCAATAAAGGCTTGAATTTAAAGATATTTTCTATAGAGAGGATAATAAGCTTACGTGTAGAATTTGTCAATAGTTAGTTTTTCTAAAAGTGTTTTTATTTACGATGAATAATTAGTTGAGCGCAGTATTTAAACCAGTGTTTTTTTTAATTAACGATGATAAGTTTAGTTTAGTTGAACGCAGTTTTTTTTTTTGCTTAGTAAACATCTTAAATCGCACTTTTAATTTTTAGAATATCTTATATACCGCATGCATAATTTGCAAATTCTTATCGCATAAATATCGTGTCCCTGTCCCGGGGTTTACTAATTTTCCCCTAAGTTCCTATTGGACACTTAGAAATCCTGGACGAAATAGATTACATCAGGCTTTCGAAATTTTGATCTGATATTATGATCAAAAAAACGACAAAAAATTATTTTAATAATAAAGCACACTGTTTTGCGTTATATTAAGGTCAAATAAGTCATAGATACGACTAAAACTCTGCAAGGAATTTTTTATTAAGATACGAAACGTTTTAATAAGCAAAATTACAGGTTAGAAATTTTCATCATTTTTATGTTACACCTGATCTTGTAATTTAAATGGAAGGCGCAATCTGCTTTGTCCAATCAGAGATGGCATTTACGTCCAGTCAGAAGTGGGGGGAGAATTAGAGCTTATTGTAAAGAGATGTCGACATGTCTTTATAATATGGGGTGTCGTAAGTTAAAAGGGGATTATTGAGTTTAAACATTTGTTTTGATTTTCGGACTGATCCGGGATTAATCAAATTTCACGATTTTGATTGGTTAAAAATTACATGTGACTATCGGGTAATCTCGTGATATGCTTGGCCTTAAGCAGCCTCGTGTAATCTTTCTTTTACATTATCTCTATTTTTCATTATGTAAATCGACTTTCATTTATAATTGAAAATTGTCAATCATGCCAAAATTTACACGAATCAAATAAAAACTCAATTTTCGAAAATTTGTAAAAATGGGCCCTTTTAATTGAAGACACTCCATATACCCGTCAAGATCAAGATACCGAGTACCTTATTTTATTTTTTAGTGCATACCCGACATCACATAGGGTCAAGACCAGCATTGATTAGTTGCAAGAGTGTTGCAATTATATATTGTTAGTAAATTGTCACCCTGGGTGATGTCGGGTAAATCTTTTACGGTAATAAATATTATTTAGCTCCGGACCAATGATGGACGCTGCATTCACGGGAAATGTTTCGATATACTGCGGCAGAATATAATTTTCAAATTGCTAAAACTTTTATACTGTAGAAATTTTTATTTAAAAACCTGCCGATAACTTTATACAATGAACTGTACTCTACAAAGTTACCGGTCAATTTTCTTAGAAACATTTATACAAAGAGTTATAGGGATTTGAAAGTTGTCTTTTTAAAATCGTTATAACCCGTTATAGAAGTGTTTTCTCAAAAAACTGTCCGGTAATTTTGTAGGCTTGTCGATAAAATTTTCAGCAATTTATATTCTCTGAGTATATTGAAGTACATTAATTTTATTGTTCAATCACGATCCCGAGATAATTGAACCATTTCCCGAGATTGGCGATTTTTCCGGACCCCATATGATCGTGTTTTTTTGAATTTGAGATGCACTATATAATATATATAAATAAAAAAAACAGAACTTACATAATAAAATATCATATACGATTGGATAAAATAGTTTTAGTATTGTGTGACTTATCAAATCTGTTTGATTTTGTCCTCTACACAATAATGAAAAAAGAAAAACAAAAATCATACGATCCACTATTACCATTCAAATTTGCCTGCAGATTTTCATGGCGTAATTTTATTTGAGAAAATAATGTGGGATGATTATTTATTATACGAGCACGTGAAGAGAATAGAGTAACCAAAATAGTTGTGAACTAGAAAAAAAAAACAATAATAGAGCTATAATTGATTTTTGCTTACGAATTTTTATAGTAGTTTTTCTTTGATATAGTGATTTTCTTTTTTTCTTGCGCGTTTCATTCTTTCGTGTTTTGTATAGCTTTCGCGTCTAATGCAAACTTGAAATACAACTTAGATATTATAAAAATAAGAACATAATGCCTTCTACAAATAACAAATATAGTAATATTTATGATTATAGACATCCCCTTTATATTGGCAGTTGGCGAAGGAATGTCGCGTACATTGACGAAGATTTTATCAATGACAACTTAGACGAGCCCCATATGAAGAGGAGAATTACGATTTTAAGTCAATATCCAGAAATTAAGAGTCTATATGGACATGATACCATTACCATATATATTGCAATTATCGGAGTAATAATCCAGGTGACAGCGGCATATTTATTTGGTCGCTGGCTAGTCAGTTGGAATTTTACTATGTTCGTTGTTTCACTTATCCTCGGAGGAACTATGACACAGATTTACAGTATAATAATTCATGAAACTACACATAATCTCGCGGCAAAAACAGAATTTCAAAATCGTATCGTGGGTCTTGTCGCAAATATATCATTACCAATACCTATAGCCATGTCTTTTCGTCGACATCATTTAGAACATCACGCTTTTCAAGGTGTGGAAGAATTAGATCCAGATCTACCTTCAAAATGGGAGAAAAAGTTTGGTTACAGTACTAAACTTAAATTACTATGGCTTCTTGTTCATCCTATAATATATCCTCTTCGTAATATATCCATGTTTAAAAATTTACGGCAATGGGAATATGTAAATTTTGTTTTTACCCTTTTTACAGACATTATAATATACTATCATTGTGGCTATAGAGGATTATTATATTTATTTATGTCATTATGGTTTGGCTTTAGCGTTCATCCAGTAGCAGCGCGTTATATCCAGGAGCACTATACGTTTGATGATGGTCAAGAAACCTATTCTTATTATGGAAGCTTTAATAGAATATTTATGAACATTGGTTATCATACTGAACATCATGATTTTACAAATGTAGGATTAAAATTTATTGTTAACTACTAATTATGTTTTATTATGTTTTATTAATGAGTTTCTTGATTTATATTCTAGATACCGTGGACAAGGCTTCCTGAAGTTCATAAAATTGCAGATGAATATTACGAAAACCTTGCTTATCACACGTCATGGTTTATGGTCCTGTGGAATTTTGTCACGTTAAGGCAATTTGGGCTACAAAGTCGTGTAAAGAGAAGTATTGAAGCACATAAAAGAGGTCGAAAAATGCTGAAAACTTTGAAAAAAGCATTAATATCATAGAAGAGATTTTGTAATACGTGTTCCTTTCATATTTGGTAAATTTTAATACCGAAAGTTTACTCCTGATATGGTTTAACTTTATTACCAATATTATGTGATAAATTAAGTAAAATTAAGTATACTTGAACTTTTTTTGTCTCCACTATGTTATTAAAAAATCTTATTTATTTCATCATATCTGAGTAGAACAAATTTCTATATAGATTTTTTATATCTCATCCTTAGTTATATAAAGGAAAACAGGTGCAAATATGACTATTAGGAATTATTAGGGGCGACCCGAAATATATAATTTATTCGGGTGATTTTCTCAAAGCTAGATTGTATGTAATACTTTATCATTCCAGTTTTAAAAAAGAATCATTAAAGTGTAAACTAGGAATTAGTACCGCCTAAAATTCATTTGATCGTTTAACCATGGCAAAACCGAAATGTGTGACAAGGTATGACTAATTGATTAATGTTGGCCTGCATGAAGCACATTTTAACGTTAAGGTTAGGTTAGGAGTGTTAGAAAGAGGGTTTATACCTGCCAATATTATCATTATTATTTAGAGCACTAAAGGCAGGCAACAGAGTTCCGCATGGGCCGGTGGATCTGGATATTTCTAAGTCCACAAAAAATATTTACCAACCAAATCCAGCCCTTTGGGTAAATCCAAGCCCACAACATAGTACAACCCATAAACCCAGATAGCACAAACTATAAAAAATGATAAGATGATATTCAATAATTTTGGCCAATCAGCTTAAAAACTGGACTTTCCATGGGCTTTTGAATCTGGACACGATTCCAATCTAGTTTCACATGGATTCGAGGCCGGCCATGTAGAATCTTAAAAGTAGGCGAAATTTGAAGCAAAAAAAAAAATTTTTTCTTGATTAACCGTCACACATTTCGGTCGTACTCAGAGTTATTAATAGTAACTTACCGTTACCGCGTAAGTTATCGGTAAGCTACTATGAATTTTCTTGAAAAGTGTGGCCATTATCAGAAAAATTCATAATGGTAGACAGTTAACGATATCAACATAGAAACTTTCGGAATAAAATTTAGTACTTATTCCGTTCCTATACAGTCGCACACCTGGATTTCCGATCTATAATTACTAATTTGTGAACGATTTTCATATACTTACGCGGAAAGTCGGTAATTAAGATTAGTAAAATTCCGATTATGACGGTTTGCAAAAGGCCTACCGTATAGGCAAAATAATAACGCACATGGGTGTTATTCGAAAATTCCATTTATTAAAAATCTCACATTTGACTCAAAATAATGTCCCTAACACATAATTTCAGGAAAGTTTTTAGTTTTTTTCTTCAAAATTAGGATAATGATTCAAATTATCGCGCATGCGCATTATTGCGCGCCTATACGGTGATGGTGGGATTCTAATTAGTCTATTAAGTCATATACATATCTATTGAAAATCTATAAAATTTTTGAAATCTACATCTTTTTGAAATCTGAGAAATATCGTGAATTTCCATGATGTGGTGATCTACGACCGTTCACACCTCTTTGAAAACTAATATTACAATATCGATATTTGTATGGGTTTTAAAAATTGGCCTTTATTATACTGATCTGCTCACCTATACCATACTGATCGGTGTAATATTGCGTTAATGTGTAGTACATACCATACTGATTGAGTACTATAAGTATTTAATATAAAAGCGAAACAGTATGATAAACCGTACCGTGCTGATTTGGTATTATATATAGCAAAGGTCTTTTCGATTTTAACAGCCGCCCTACCTTGTTTAGTGCGTCGAGTATAACCAAGGTTTGTATAAGGAGAGCATCTTCCTGCATTGCAATACAAAGTAGAATTTCCTATTGTATAATATAATGAGAAAATTTACGTACTTTGTATTCGCAACACAAAATACAAACCTGAGTTATACTCGACGCACCCCGACGCACTAAACAAGGTAGGTAGGGCAGCTGTTAAATCGAAAAATACCTCTGCCATTATATGTTAAGTATGGTGTAATTTACATCCCATACCATACATTTGATCTTTGAAAACAAAAAAAAAATAAAATTAAAAATTTATAGTAAATACTATTTGTTTGCTCATTAGTTATTTCTCTGGATTCACTTTATAGCAGTTTTCAAAAAAGTCGCAAATCTGAGGTTTAAAAACCGTCTAACGCTAATTGGAATTTCAATTTTTACTAACGCTAATTTAAATTTCCCATAAGGTGTGACCCTATGATTTTCGTGTGATGATGGTGGGAACTTATATATATTGAAAAATCGTATGAAATCGATTTACAGAGGTCATCTTTTTGCAAAGCGCAGATCACGAAAAAATCGGATAATTTGCTGATTTTTCGCAATTTCAAGAATTTTAGATTTTGATTTACTATTTAGAATCTTAGATATACTGTAATCTAAATTTCCAGATTCTTTAATTTCCCATGTAGGTATATGGTGCTAGCCGTTCAACGGCTGTAAATTTTTATACCAGATTGGAAAATAATTCTTTTAGTCTGCACGATAGTTTTATTTTGGGTGAAGGTTTTGAAATCTCTAAGCCGTCGCAATAGTATTATTTAAAAGGCCTTAAAATTCTCTTAGTCACATAATAGAACCACTGATAGAACGCGATAGAGTTATTTAGGACGAGAGTTTTTTTTTTTTATAATTCTCTTAGTCGCGATGATATTATATTATTAAGGTAAAATCTTCTAAATTCTTTTGACTAAAGTGATTGTTATTTATATCTTAGTCATCTGACTAAAGTTATTAAAAAAAAATTTACTTGAGTCGAAAAACCTTGTCATGTAAACGAAGAATACTATATTTCCACTTCGGAGGAATAATCCGGTAAATTTCAATCATCTGGATTAGAGATTAGCATTCGTTTACCGGTAATTTAGCCTAATTTGTCCCAGGATTGTTATTACAAATTGAATTAAAGTTTAACGCTAATAATAGTCACGGATAAGTTTTATTATCTTTTTGGGGTGTTTGATTTAAAATTGGCAACTGTGCAGGCTTTACAATAGGTTTAGTTTTATATTGTTGCACCTCAGAACCTTATTCCTGCATTTACAATCAAATCGAAAAGAACAAAGAATTTTTTATTACGTAGTATAAATGTGGAAATTTCTAGATTAGCAAGTTTTTGATTTATGTTTTCAGTTGTGTTACACATTGATCTTGGATTGGTCGACATGAAAGCCCTCTATGCATTTTTTTACACTAGCACTATAAGCTCACTCTTCACCCTAAATAGTGTTTATACGTATTCAAATGTAATCCCATGGATGTCCCATGCATAGAGTTTGGATGCTAATATGGGAAATAGACTAGAAAAATCACCATTTGACCAATTTCAAGAATTTTAATTCAAGTTAAAGTACGGTGCAAATCATCTAATCGCATCAAAAATGTATTAAATGTTGCGCCACTAAGCAAATCATTAATTAAGGAAATA